AAGCCAGAAAGAGAAAAATAAACAGCGCATGATTTCACTCATATGTGGAAGATAAACCAACACACGGACAGATAGAACTGTTTGGTGGTTACCAGGGGCTAGGGGGGTGGGGGGTGGGCACAAGGGGTGGAGGGATGCACTTATATGGTGACTGATAAACAATAACGTACAACAAAGATTTCACAATAAAAAAAATAGTTCATTTTCCTCATAAATATCTTATTGAACACATATGAAAGCAACTGATTAAAACATTTAGTTTTCATGAAATTACATATTAGAACATGTTCCACCTCTGTTATCTCAATCATAAACCAATTTTGTTATTTTCAAAAATCTCTTCTTTCATTGTTGTTAAGATGATGCTTTTCTAAAACCACCCTCTGTTCTTGTAGGATGACTACTTACCTTGGTGACAGTTCCTGCCAGGATTATGTGAGCACAGAGGGGACTCTGGGGATCAAACCCACGTTTCCTGCAGAAGTCAGTCTGCGCCAAAGACATGGTCAGCGTAGCATCTGGATTCTCCTGTAGAGAGAAAAAGACGACCCTCTCATGTGAAATACTGTCTCTGAAGAGCTAATCAATTTCACCAGGGGCAGACACACTGTCCCCAGAGCTTGACCATTCTTTCATGAAACAGTGGACTGTAAACCACCACTCAGGAAAATGACTAGCTGGATAGAGACTGATGTTGACTCTCTCCAAAAGGGCGGGGGGGGGGGGTCATATTTATAATGAAGTGACTCAGTAAGGATTATTTTAACACTTTTTTTCCTCTTCAACTCTTAATTTGTCCCATATTCACCAGAGAAATTATAATTACAGTACCACCCAAATACAAGGCAGGTCTATGGCCTTCACTGAAAGATCTAAAGGTTAGACTCTAATTTGAGACTCGTGAATAAAAATGCCACAGTTGCTGAACTGGCAATTTGTACAATTTAAGCAGGAAAGTAGCTGACTCATGCTTCTTGGTTATCTTATGCTAGCAGAAGTTGTCATGTGATTTCAAAACTGGAGAAGTAGCTCATTCCTGCTCTAGCAACCAGAAAAGAATTCTTAGATTCAAAAAGTGAGGCAAGCAAAATTTATAATTCTTCCTTATTCAGAAATCAGCTCCATAAAAGGCATTGTTGACAGATTACAGCAAAATTCACACGGTGCATTTAGTGCTTTAAACTCCAAGGGTCTTGTGCGGGGAATTTTGCCATCTCACAGTGACGCATCAAAACAGTGCCATAAAGAAATCTCCTCGAAATCATTTAGCCAAATATTTGCTGTCTATAAACTATTAGGCAACTATAGGAGACTAAAAAAGGGAGGGGAGGATTCAGCTAAGGTCTCTCCCTTCTGTGAGTTTATAACCTAGATGAAAAGTCAGACATAAACAAAACTTAAATAATGCAAAACAAAGACACAGAAGAGGCCAAAAGGCAGTATATAACTAATTGCCAAGTGAATGGTACAATTAAGTGTATTTGAAGTTCTGTGTAAGGAGCCGTCAGCATAGCCTGGAGGGATATGGAAACCACAGGGAGCCTTATAAGATATTCAAAATCAGGACAGAAGTGGGAAGATGTATTACAGGTAAACGGAATGGTAATTACAAAAACAGAGCTGGGAAAGTCGAAGACATGATTGTGAGTAGTGAGAAACCCAATCTGCTCGCAAGAGAGGCTTTCTGAGGGGAGGTGGGGGTGGGGAGAGTGAGGGCGGGCCACCTCCAAGCTGAGTCACGATTGTATTTTGCAGGCGGGTGTCTGTCAGTGCTTTCCAAGAACCACTTGCCTGGAGAGCTTGTTAAATGCTGATTTCTGACTCCATTTCCAACCCAGGTATCTGCATTTTATTTATTTATCCATTTTTTTGAATAAGAAGATTAGCCCTGAGCTAACATCTCCTGCCAATCCTCCTCTTTTTTGCTGAGGAAGATTGGCCCTAGGCTAACATCCGTGCCCATCTTCCTCTATTTTGTATGTGGGAGACCACCACAGTATGGCTTGATAAGCAGTGCGTAGGTCCACACCCAGGATCCGACCCTGTGAACCCTGGGGACCCTGTGAACCCTGGGCCGCACCCGGCCGCTGAATTGGATGCAGTGGAGCTCCACACTTAACTGCTACGCCACTGGGCTGGCCCCCCAGGTATCTGCATTTTAATCAAACGCCCCAGGTGATTCTTATGCAGCTGTAGGCAGCCGGATGTTGTTGAAGGTTTCTGGGCTGAGGGCAATGCTGAGTGTTTTGTTCCTGTAACTCTGGTGGGCAGGGTGGACAGACGCAGACAGGGAAAAGATATAGGTGAGAAGGAGGAAAAATAGAAAGTATAAACCAACCTCGACTGGTTAATTGAGAGAATCAGAGTCAGACTAATTCTGATGTGGCCAGGCCTTTCTGATGCCATCGTGTACACCTAAAGTCCTGGGTAGGTTCCTCACCACCGTCTCTGTCTAGAGAGGTCAAAGACCCAGGCTGGAGTTCTACCCTGGAGCCATCAGCTGGCTGGTCACAGGTGAGTCCCTGCACCTGAGTCTTAGTTTCCTCATTCCTGCAGTGGGGGGTGATAATATCGGCACAAGTTTAAATACAATCACGTACAGCAGTGGTTCTCAATTCCCTCCCCAACTAGAAGCATCAGGGAGGGATTCTGGAAGTTGGGGTTTTTTATTAAATTTGTTTTCAATAAAATGCCTTGGTATTGCATTTTTAAGTCTTCCCAGGTGACTGTATTTGCAACCAAGGTTGAGCATCACTGATGGCGCTAAATGAGTTCGCTTCAAGCAAATACCTGATGGAGTGCAGTGGGCTGGGAAAACTGTGAATGGAGTGTCTGTGCCTCAGCTAAGGGAAGCAGCTGCTCTGGTTCTGCTCAGATTGCAGGCCCCCAGTGTCACAGATCTTCCAATTTTTCAAGAAGTTAGAAATTTAGATTTTTAATTGAAATTTCAATTTTCAAATGTTAGTAACTAATTTAAATTTATTAAAAACAACACAGAACTCTGTGTGCGCCAAAGGAAACTGGTCTGTGGGACATATTCAGCTCATGGGCTACCGGTCCATAACCTGTGTTTCCAAGGCAACTGGACCTGGGGTGAAATTCAGTTTGGCCACCGGCTTTGGGCAAGTTCCTTGACCTTCCTAGGCCTCAAGGGCTTCATCCACAGAAGGACAGTATACCCACCTCAGGGTTATTAGGAGAGGGTGAATGGAAGGTGTCTGGAAGGTGAAGGGCGGCCTGGCACACGTCGGGTGCTTAATCATGTATCAGTTACTTTCATCTTGATCAACAATGTTGTACTTTCCCAGTTAACCTCAAATCTGGGATCTTGCTCAGAAAGACCCTCCACCAAATCAGGCTCTCATTCCAGGACTGTGTGGCTTGAGCCTCCCAAGCTCTGTGTCTGTGACCCCACTTTTGGGACAGCAGGGGTCCACCAGCGAGTTGTAAACCTGCACCTGCCCCAAAAGGTGAGCAAAGGGTGAGGAGAGAGAGAACTCCAGTCAGTTCCACTCCCTGCGGGGGAAGCTTGTGAACACCAGGCCGAAAGATGGCGAGAAGCATTGGAATCGGCCACGACCTTGGACACTACCTTCCTGCTGCTGGAGGAAACTTCCTAATTCAGAAGCAGAGCTAAGAAAGGGAAACCTGGAAGCTACGTATACAATGCGCCTAACTACCCACCAATCTCTACACCCTGCAAAACTTAATAAGAGCTCAGGGTCCCGCCGGTGGCTAGCGGTTAAGCGCGCGCTCTGCTGCTGGCGGTCCGGGTTCCGATCCGGGGCGCGCACTGATGCACCGCTTGTCAGGCCATGCTATGATGGCCTCCCAAATAAAGTGGAGAAAGATGGGCAGGGATGCTAGCTCAGGGCCACTCTTCGTCAGCAAAAAGAGGACTGGCATGACGTTAGCTCAGGGCTCATCTCCCTCACAAAAATAATAACAATAATAATAATAGCTCAGTTAATGAGACACCGCCCTCAGAGACGACTCAGGGGAGAGAAGTAGTCCTCAGGGTGCAGGCAAAGAATTCGCCCCCAGCGCGTCACCCAGCGGCGGGGGCGCGTGTGACATTCCTGGTACTCAACTGCCCTTTCAGGAGGCTGCAATGCCCGCCCGGCGGCACGGGCGATGAGGCAGGAGTTTGGGCCGGGCTCACATTCTCACGCCCACGGGCCCCGCTCTCCTCCCGGGGCAGAAGGGAGGGCAGCGGGCGGCCGGGCCCTCGCTCACCTGTAGGTGGCCCACGGACTGCTGCAGCGGGCTCAGGTAGAAGTAGGGCACGCCGCTGCCCGCGCCCGGGGGCCCGTCGCTGAGCGAGAGGATGTCGGCGAAGGGCCAGCCGCGCACCGCCTCCTCCGTGGAGATGGTGGCCAGCGCGCCCCAGTCGCAGAGGTGCGTCACGAAGCGGGCCACGCGCGCCGCGTCCTCGCGGGGCGGCAGCG